AACGAATGCCATGAATGCGAAGAAGAGGTGGACACAGATGTGATGGACGGCGGAGACAACTGTGCGGCCAATTGTTGCGATTTCGCCGACTCTAAGACCGGACTCTTGTGTCGAAAAGAGTTCAAAAACTTGGAATCTTTGTTGAACCACAAGAAGAGACACTCGGGAGAGAAGCCCTGGTTTTGTGAATACAAGTCATGTGAGTACCGATCCATTCAAAGATGTCATCTCATCGGACACATGAGGAAGAGTCACACCGGGAGGTATCAGTTCTCGTGTGATTGGCCCGGATGTTCGTTCATGGGTTAGCCATTTAGCCATACAATCATTATCTTTGCTTTCATTGTTTAACTTAAAGATTGTCCGCTATTTGTATGTTAAGGTCCGTCTCGTTATAACGTTAAACGACATAAAATAATACATACGGGAGAGAAACCATACAAGTGAGCACTTATTCACTCAATACTATTACAGTGCATCCAATTTAGGCATATATTAACCCAATTGATGGTAACCCGAAATGCAGGTGCAATTGGCCCGGATGTGAGTGGAGGAGCGCTAACAACAAGATCGCCGACCATAAGAAAATACACACAGGTTTTCCATACCATCTCATTATTAATGTCTACGAGTTATTAATGTTTGCATTGAATTGAGTGCAGGAGAGCGTCCGTACGCGTGCTCTTGGGTTGGATGTGAGGCCCGATTCAGTCGCCCCTTTACGCTGAGGAATCACGAGCGGACGCATACGGGAGAAAAGCCGTTTGCCTGCGATTATCCCAATTGTAACTACAAATCATCCCAACAAACGCCGTCAGTATTGATGTCCAAATGCAATGAATTAATGCATTTATAAATTAAATACTAATACATATTGAATAGATTGGCGACACATAAACGAAAACATCACTCTGTGGTACACATGGCCTCCGAAGAGGTGGTCATCACCGATAATGTCCTCATTACCGATGAATGACATCTCATTAATCATATAATTCATAATATATTTTTCATAAACCATTTTATAAATCTAAATATCGATCATATATTAAAAATAATATTTATTTAGTTAGAAATAACTTTTTAAATAACATCTAAAATGAGTACAAAAACGTGTTTATAATGAAAGTCGAGTCCAAAACTCTGTAATCACTTCTTCTTCTTATTCTTCTTCGGGTTGTTTTGACTCACATTTTGTTGATTTTGCGGTACGTTTTGATTGACAGCCGCTTTGGTTCTGGTCTTGAGTTTGGGTATCATTTTGGAGACATATTTCAAGACTTGTTGTTTGTCTTCGAAGCCATTGGTGTCAATGAGTTCCTGGTTTTGTTTGCCACGAATGAGACAATACTTAACGTAACCCCTGTTTGCCGGCAACTCTTTGTCCACTTCTCTGGGATAGCATTTGTTT